TACCCCGCCCCCGCCAGGCCTCCCTCGGGGTCTGCGGACGCTCACGGAGACCGCCCCTGGGGAACCCCTGGGCCCAGATCCGCCCTCCACCCCAGGGGATGTTCTCCAGTGCCTCCCTCTGGGGCCCCTCACACCTCCACCTGGGACCTCACCTTGCCTCTTCCCCCCTCTCTCATGATCCTGGGATGCTCCTTGCTCTTCTCCCCCCCCCAACCCACGCTCTCCTCCCCACCTTAAAAGCTATAAGCATCTCCCATGATGACCATCTGAGTCCCCATCTCTGGCGCTCCCAGGGACCTCACATGCCCTTGCCCAGCAAGACTCAGGAGCACCCGCAAAGATTTGTTGTGAGGTGGGGCAGGCCCCTTCCACTCACCCCAGACTCACCCAGCTTCTCCCCACCCTGCAGATGACGTGCTCCCCATATTCGCCTACCCGCACAAACTGGGCAAGTCGGTTACGGGGGGCTACGTGTACCGGGGCTGCGAGTACCCCAACCTGAACGGCCTGTACATTTTCGGCGATTTCATGAGTGGGTAAGTGGTCTGACAGCAGTTCTAGGAGGCAGCGAGGGCAAGGGAGCAAAGTGGGAGGGACACTCACAACTTCCTAGACAGGCCCAGAGTCACCCTGGGGGGCCAGGACCTGTCACTGCACCAGCTGACCAGGGCCCCAGGGTGCATTGGTCCAGGAGAGGCCAGAGAGAACACCCTGCTGGGGAGAGGGGAGCTGGGGTTTAGCCCAGGCCTGACCACGGGGGCCCCTGGAAGCTTGCTGCCCGATTCCCACCCTCTTTAGCTTCTGCTGGGGGCAGAGCATTCGCCCCAGACCTGCTGTGGGTCAGGCTCCTTCCCCATGGGGGCTTATGGGGCCTCATGACCACCTCGGTCTCCCATTGTACAGAGGAGAAAACTGAGGACCAGAGAGGCCCAGGGAAGATATACACCTGGCACGATTGTTGAAGTATAGCTGAGGTGACCTGGGTCCGAATCCTGGCCCCCTTATTGGCCATGTGACCTTGAGCCAGTTACTTGACTTCTCTGTGCTTCAGTTTTCTCACCTGCAAAACGGAGACGATAGCAGCTGCCTCCAGGCTGTTTGAGGACTGAGTCCGTTAGTGCACACGGAGCACTGAGAATTTAGTGCGCGTTCACTGTCTGGTAGCTATTGGTTATCCCCGCTCTAGACCCTGAGTGTGAGGGCAGCTGTTCCTTTGGAGGAGAAACGGGGAGTTAAGGGAGGCTCAGCTGGCAGCAGAATTCTCACCTCTTGCAGGCTGCTGACCTGGGTGGGTGTGTGGCCAGTACCCCTGCAGCTGGAGCTGAGGGAGAGCCCTGACCTGGGCCTCTGGGTGCTGGACCCTTTTCTCAGCTCCACCCCTTTCCTTGGGGGCTGCCTCTGGGACTCAGCTATCCCATCTGGAAAGTGGGTCTGGATGAAGCCTGTTTTAACCCCAGTTCTCCTATCTCCCAAGTCACCTGACCAGAGATTTAACTAGTTTTGCCAACCTTTCCCAAGCCCATCTGCTGGATCAGGCTTTGTGCCAAGGCTGGAGCAACAGAGTTGATAAGTACCTGCTACCCAAGTCACGGAGACAAACAGTCCTCTCTAGTCCAGCCTCAGAGAGTGTGTGCACAGTGCTGGAGAAGCCCAGTGTGAGTGCAGTCAGGAGGGCTTCCCAGAGGTGGGGACAGGGAACAGGGCCTGGAAGTATCAGTAGGTAACTGACAGGTGGGGAGGGGAGTAAGGGGCCAGAGCAGCATATTTTGGAGGTGCTCAAGCTCCATCTCATGCTCTGAAGCGTGTGCACACTCCTGGCACCTGCCTTGCAGGGTTCTGAAATCCAAGTCAGCTCCTGATTCCCTCCTGCTGGTCAGTGGGTGGGGCTGAGCTGAGGGGGCAGGAACCAAGCTGGTCCTTTGGTCTCTGTGTGCCTTCCCCCACATGCTTTTCTGTTCCATAGCAGGTGCTCAGTAAAGACTTCAGGCAGGGCCAGTTTCATGGATGTGAAGGGCCCACACCTGGCTTAATGCTCTGCTGTCGTTCTCTTGAAATTCTGAACACTTTCAGAACAAGGGCCCTGCAAGTTCATTTTGCACTGGACCCTGCAATTGTGTATGGTCCTAGTTGTGTTGGGGGTGGCACCAGATGTCAGACCAGTGGGGTCAGACTCTACCTGGGATTCAGCAACCTTGGGACTTGAGTTCTGGCTGGGAAAGAATTCAGAGCCAGGACTCAAACAATAAGAGAGCATTTATTTATAACATTACAGAGGTGGAAGAAGCAATTTGTAGAAGAAGTGGGCTTAGGAAACAAGTTATAGAGGCAAAGGAAGGGCCCTTGGAGCTTAGAAGTGAGGAAGGTAAAAGTGACTCGCCCGGGGGTGGGGGGGAGAAAGGGAGGGAAGGGAAGGGAAAGGAAAGGTGAAGGCTACTCCTGGGAGGGAGAGCGCTGGGTCCTCTGTCCTAAGGGTTTTAAGGGTGGAGATTTTAGGGGAGGTCCCAGGGGAATATCAATAGAATATTCAGCAGCTTTCCAGGTGTGTCCTTTCAGGGTTGTGGTCTCCCCTGATGGATTGGTTGGCACCAGGGCAGGGGGTCATTATCCAGTGCAGCTGGTTCTGAGGTCGGCTGTGGCTGGTTTTGTTGCTCTTCTGGGCCTGGAGCTGCAGCACAACTGAGGCCTCGGTGTTATCTCTAGGTAGGAAAGGTCAGGGGGTCCAAACTGCAGGACCAGGGATATGCTAGAGGTAGAAAAGCCACCCTGGGGGTGAGGTCCCACCCTACAATGGTCCTTTGCTAGGCACCCAGGGCTTTTCACCCTGGTGACCTCCTGTACCTGGCCTGTCGTGTATGCTCTGCTCAGGTCTACCTGCCAACCACAGTGTGTGGATAATAGACGAGCGACGGGCAGGTTGGTGGGCGGGCTTCCCTTGTGCACCATGTCAGGCACTGCCCCACAGCTCATCCTCCTTCGCAGGCGTCTGATGTCCCTCCGAGAGAACCCGGGGACAGGCCAGTGGCAGTACAGCGAGCTCTGCATGGGCCATGGCCAGACCTGCGAGTTCCCAGGGCTCATCAACAACTACTATCCACACATCATCTCCTTTGCAGAGGACGAGGCCGGTGAGCACCGCTGAGGCCTCCCCATTCGGGCTGCCCATGCCTGACTGGTCCCCACATCCCGTGGGTCTTTCTGGCCTGGGGTTCAAGGGATGGAGTCTCAGGCCTGAAACCGCCTTCAGGATGAAGGGGGATGTGTTTAGTGGGCTCGAGACCTTGCTCGGGCACCGTCCTCACCAGCCTGAGCTTCAGCTTCCTCCGCCCGCCCCCCACCTCCGCCCTGGGTAAGGTTGCTGTGAGGGGCAGCGCAGTGTCCAGGGCAGTTAGGGGACCAGGAAAGTTAGGGGAGCAGGAAGCAGCAGTGGAAATGCAGGCTGGTGGGGGAAGCGGGCCTCCCAAGACCACTGCCCTGGAATCCTGATGGCAAATGCATTGGGGCCTCTAGAACGAAGCCGCGTCATCTTCAGAAAGTGGGCGGACACCGTCTTCTTGCCTGTGAGTGGGTCTCCCATTTGGGCACTTGCGTTTTCAATGCAAGGAGCAGTGGGGGAGGGGAGAAGAGGGGCCATGGTGGCTGGATCCTGATCCAGCCTCCTGCCTTTGTCCTTGGCCCTGGATTGTCCCTGGACAAAAGACCAGGGGCCCACGGTGGGGCCTAGTGAATGCTTGGCCCGGTTGCTGGGCAACACCCACCGGGGGGCCTTTTGAGGGGTGTCCCCTGCAGAGCTCAGTGCCCAGAGCCCCCAGGCCGGAGTGTGGGAAACCTTTGTTGAACCGACACCCATCAGAATCTAAATTTTCCAAAGGGCAGCCCCAGCCCCCACTGCCCTCCCCAAGCCCACTGGGCCCTTGAAAATCCTTTCTTTCGGTCAATAGGAGGTTAACATGTTTTGGAAGTAGAGATGCTCTGTCTCCACCCTCCTCACCCTAAACCCCCCACCGGGAGGCAGGGCCTGGAAGATGCATTTCCCAGGGGCCCTTCCTCCACCCCCTGCGTGACACTGAGTGATGTGACAGCCCAGTGGAGGCCCTTCTGAGACGGACAGCCTGGGGATAGCCTGTTGGCAGGCTTGGGCAGGCGGCCCCTGGAAGGCACAGAGCTCTGAGTGCAATGCAAATAAACCTTTCCCAGCTTTAGCCCCCCCCCCCCAGTTGTTCTTCTGATCCTTGTAAATTGCTGAACAAGGACCTCTGCTGGCCTGGTGTCATCCAGGGACCGTCCACATCACGGAGACCAGGAGGGCAGCGTGGCTCTGGACAGGGCTCGTCAGTGCTGATGGGGGCTCCCTGCCTGTGCATGGGGCTGGGGCCATGGCTCCCAGCAGGTCAAGGCTTGAGGGGCAGTGGAGTGTGGTCCAACCCTGTCACTTTACAGGTGGGGAAACCAAGGTTGACGACTCCTGCCCAGTCATGGGGTGGGGAGTATTGTGCCCGGCCTGGCGCCTGGAGGCCTCCCCGAGCAGGGCCTTAAGCTTGAGCTTGGTCGGCCAGGAGAAGACAGTGGAGGAAGGCATTCCAGGCTGAGGAAGCAGAGTGTGCAGGGACCCCTGAGTTGCCCCAGGGGGCTGCACAGCCAGGAAGGAGACAGTGGCTCCCATGGGCCTCTGTCCAGGAGGAGACCCAGAGAGGGAAATGTGGCCTGTGTCTTGGCCTCCCAGCCACCGTGTGTCCTACATCAGTATGGGCTTGGGGGCAAAAACACTCCTGAGATCTGGGCTTGGCTTAACCACTCCTCAGCTGTGTGATTCTGGACAAGTCACTCGGCTTCTCTGAGCCTCTGTTTTCTCATCTACAGGATGGGAAAAATGAAGCCTATTTCCTGGGCATAGGTGCCTCTGGCAGCAAGGGCCAAGGGCAGAGAGCGGAGGGCTCAGGTCCCCTGAGAGCGCACATGGTGCTGGGTGCTCATGATTCCACTCACTGCATTTTCACTACAGTCCCGAGAGGTAGGGAAACCGAGGCTGAGAGCGAGGCTGTCCCGGAGCTGCTGGTGCTCACGTGGGGCTGAGTGCGGGGACTGGCATTCACACGAGGGACGCCCAGAGCTAGTGTTCTGCCTGCTTGTCTGTCAGTGGAGACAGACTCTGGCCTCTAGGACTTGGCTGGCCCCAGATCCTGGGTGACAGTGACAACAGTAATAGCGAATGCCAATCAAGCACTTACTGTGTGTTCTTTTAATCCACATGGCAGTCCTGTGAGGCATTTTGTTTCGGTATGAGGAAGCTGAGGCTCAGAGAGCCACGTGTGCCCCGTTACCTCGTAAGCAGTTAGTGGGGAGCTGGGCCATGGACCCTCATTGTGCCCAGAGGTGTGCGGAAACCCAGGCAGGTCACGGGGGCTGGGGCAGCAGGAGGGAGGCAGGAGCAGAGGTCAACCTGGGTGGGTCCAGGCAGAGTGGCCACAGTGCTGGAGACTGTGCTGCAGAGGCCCTTGGGCCTGGCCAGATGCCTTTCTCAGTCTCAGTTTCCAGTTCTGGGCGCTGCAGGGCTGCACTGACCTGGACCACCCTCAGGGCCCCTGAGGTCAGGGTTGGCCTCAGAGCCTGAGGTGGGGCGTGGGGCCAACCGGGACAGTGTCCAGGCAGCATTCTCACCCCTGTCTTGTTTCTTGTCCAAGGGGAGCTGTACTTCATGTCAACGGGCGTGCCGAGCGCCACAGCTGCACATGGGGTCGTCTACAAAATTATCGACCCCTCCAGGTGAGTCCCCGCCCACAGTGCTGCCTGAGCTGAGCTGCTGCCGTCTACTAGGAGCCTTCACTTCCATCACCTCATTGACCCTCTCACTCCCTAAAGTGGAGATTATTCATATCCCCATTTTTCAGATGAGAAAACTGAGGCCCAGAGAAGGGAAATGACAAGCCCATACTACTGGTGAAGGGCGGATCCAGAATTCAAAACCTGGTCTGCCAGCCTCTAAGTCCACCTCTATCCATGATAAGAGGGAGTCAGGGATACTGATAGGGCTGAATAAATGCAAGGCCCATCTTCACATTAAAAAAAAAAAATTTTTTAATTGAGAATAGTTTTAGGTTTACAGACAAGTTTTTCCCATATACCCCGTACCCATGTCCTCTTTTATTTATTTTCCTCTATTATTGAAATGTCTTACATTATTACGGTACCTCTGTCATAGTTAATAAGCAATGTTGGTACATTACTACTAATTAAACTCCATACTTCTTTTTAAAATTGAGGTAACTCCTGCAGTTTTCAAAATTTTTCTCTACTTCTTCCCTTTTTCTTGCCCCAGAATCCCACGTCACATTCAGTCATCAGTCTCCTTAGCTTCCCCTGGTCTGTGACGGCTTTGCAGACACCCCTGTTCACCAAACCTTTTCTTTTTAAATTTTTTAAAATATATTTTTATTGATTTCAGAGAGAGGAAGGGAGAGGGAGAGAGAGAGAGAGAGAGAGACACATCAATGAGAGAGATCATCTGCCTCCTGCACGCCCTCTCCTGGGGATCGAGCCCGAAACCGGGGCCTGTGCCCTGACCTGGAATTCCAGCTGGTGACCTCTTTGGTTCCTGGGTCGACGCTCAACCACTGACCCGCACCGGCCAGGCTACCACGCTTTTTCTTAAAGCACAGATCTATTCGTTATTGACAAAACTATTTCTCAATAAAAACCTAAGCACTTCCTCTCCCCACGCCCCCTTTCGTTTTCCAAGGCCCCTCCCACCTCGGCCTGGGCGGCACCGGGCGGCGCCAGGATTTGCGCCACCCTGGAAGAGCACGTGTGAACTTTGCATTTTCCTTCGTTCCTTTTTCCCTGTTTTGCATAAACTTTTCCACGTTGCCACACCACCCTTGTAAGGGTTGTTTTTAATAGCTGAGTAATTTTCTGTTGAGTCACTGCGCCCTAACCCTTGCCCGAGCCTTGGACACTTCCAATGTTTTAAAACAGTGCTTTTCTAAGGAAATGTCACATTAGGGAGCGCCTAATTCACGCCAGATGCTGCCTTGGGCCCTCTGCCTTGGTTGGTGCAGCGCGACACTGGCCTCTTACCCCTGTGTGCCGGGGGGGGGG